TGAAAGTATCTTTGCTCTGAAACTGAAGTGCAATCAGCTAACTGAGATAGTACACTAGGGAAAGGAATGTGCCACAACAAGTTTAGTTCCACAGCTTCAGGCATAGTAAACAAGACCATCTAATGGAATATACAGGACTCCTAAGATTTTGTCAAACACAGCAGGCAGCTGATGTGACCGACAGGGCTAACTGAAATACAAAACAAACTGGGAGATCACTAGAATCATGAAGTACACAAAAATGGTTTATTAAATAAAAAATAATAAATACTACTCACAGGTATAGGCAATAGATCGACACATAAAAATAATCCATCAGGCAGCATTAATAGGAAGGTTTGACATCCAAAAGCTACCACCAGCATTCAACAAATTAACCAACACAGTTAATGTTGAAAAGGAAAGCACCAAAGGGTAATGGTCACTGGAACATGTCGGGAGTTAGGTGTCCCTAGGGAGGCATACTTACCGATAGTTTTGGGCTTGATGTTCGAGTCGAACGTAAGTTCAACTCGAACATCGACCGTTCATGTGTTCGTCCGTTTGCGGCATTCGGCGGGCTGTTCGTCCACCAAGTGTCCTACAATGCACTGTGCCACAGGTCAGGTGCAATGCTTTGGCCAATCACAGCACAATGCACTGTGAGAGCCATGATTGGCCAAAGTCACGGTGACTTTGGCCAATCATAGCTCACATCTAAGTACCTGCCCCACACTATAAAAGGCTTCTTACACTGCAGTCTTAGGCAGTGTGTTGCTGGACACTGACGAAGACAGAGGGGCGAATACTCTCCCCGAAAAAATAAATACAAAAAATATATATATAAAAAAAAAAAAAATACATTAAAGAAAAGTGTGGGTTACCCCCCATAATCCTTATTTGGGCCCTTTAGGTGTGGTAGGAAGGTTAGGAGGGAAACCACAGTAAGAAAAAAAAAAAAAGAAGGAGCGTAGGGTTACCCCTAAAAGCCATACCCGGCTCTTTAGGCCTGGTAGGACTTTTAAAAAAGGAACCCCACCCCAAAAAAATGAGGAAAAAAAAAAAAAAAAAAAAAAAAAAAAAAAGTGTGGGAGCCCATTAAATTCCAACCAGACTCTTGATCCGAGCATAGGCCTCGTAGGGCAAAAGGCAGCTTACGGTGTCCCCATGCCGAAGTGAACAAGGGCTTCTTCCCCAAAACACTGGCCCAGTGGTTGTGGGGTTCTGCGGGCAGGGGGGGGGGTTCATTAGCCTCAGGATACTTCTTTAAATAAGGGGGAACCCTGTGACTGCCCCCCCATCCAGCGTTGTCCTGAAGACGACTTCCCGAAATAGAAAAAAAACCTGGACGCCCACTAACGTGTCCGCACCCGCCGGGCACTTGCAATAGGACAGGACTGACAGTTGCCAGTCAGATGTAAAAACTGGGTGGTGCTAGCGGTGACGTCAGCCACGCCTATTTGTTTACATCTGACCGGCAAATGTCAGACCTGTCATACTGCGGCAAGTGTTCGGGTCAGTGTTTTTTTTTTTATTTTGGCGAGTCGGCGGAACAATGCTGGACGCCGTGATTGATGATGGATCACAATGATGGAACCATTTTTTTTTACTTTTTTTTTTTTTTTAAATCAATTGGTTGCCGACCAGCCACAGTACATATACTGTGTCAGGGCGGCACCGCTGCGCAAAATCACGTATACTGATTATACTTGATTTTGCATTTCGGGTAGGGGGGCGGGCGTGAGGCGCCCTACACGTGCCGCCGATCACGGCTGCGGGTGTCAATCACCGAGTCCCGGCCGGTGATAGCCCGGCGATTACCGGCAAACACTGACAGGGAGCACGGCTTTTGTGCATTAAAAGTAAAAAAAGTTTTTGGAAAATTACAAAAAAAAAAAATATATATATATATTTAGTTTGTTTACACAAAATTGTCACTTAGGATTTACTGCTCACACATGCCATGGGTATATGTGGAATTACTCCCCAAAACACATTCTGCTACTTCTCCCAAGTATGGGGGTACCACATGGGAGAGACGTTTTGGCAGTCTAGCAAAGTACAGGACCCCAAAATCCAATAAGCACCTTCAGGCTTTTAAAGGACTTTATTTCCTCATTACACTTCCTGACTACCAATCACAATTTAGGAGGCCTTGAAATGCCAGTATAGCACCACAACTCCCCAAATGACCCCTTTTTGGAAAGTAGACACCCCAAGGAATTTGATAAGCAGAATGGTGAGCATTTTGCAGATCTTGTTTGTTGCCACAAGTTTTTGGAAAATGAAGGAAAAAAAAAAAAAACAAAACAAACATATTTTTTCTTCTTTTAGATTTCAAAACCTTGTGAGAAAAAAAAAATGAGATCTGAAAAATACTCAACATGCCTCTTTTTAAATTCCTTGGGGTGTCTACTTTCCAAAAAAGGGTCATTGGGGGGGGGAGGGGTTGGTGCTATCCTGGCATTTCAGGGCCTCCGGAACTGTTATAGGTAGAGAGGAAGTGAAATGAGGAAGTTACGCACCTTCAGGCTTTCAGGCTCCTGTATGTGGCTAGGCTCCCAAAAAGTCTCACACATGTGGTATCCACATACTCAGTAAAAGTAGCAAAATGTATTTTGGGGTGTACTTCCACATATACCCATGGCTTGTGCGAGAAATATACCATTTAAATGACAACTTTGTTTAAAAAAAAAAAATGTTTTTGTCATTTTCCAGAAACTTGCAAAAAAAAAAAAAAATCTTCCATGGACTCAATATGCCTCTCAGCAGATAGCTTAGGGTGTCTACTTTCCAAAAGGGGTCATTTGGGGGTGTTTGTACTATCCTGGTATTTTAGCACCTCAAGAAATGTGATAAGCAGTCAGAAAGTAAAAGCTGTGTAAATTCAATTATCTATACCATAGTTTGTAGATGCTATAACTTTCACACAAAGCAATCAATATACAGTTATTGGGATTTTTTAACCAAAAACATGTAGCAGAATACATTTTGGCCTACATTTTTTATGACCGAAATGAGAAAATATTGTTTTTTTCAAACAAAATTTTTTTTTTCTTCAAAACTTTGATAGTGCCAAAAATAAAAAGTGCACAGGTGATCAAATACCACCAAAAGAAAGCTCTATTTGTGTGAAAAAAAGGACGTAAATTTCGTTTGGGTACAGCATTGCATGACTGCGCAATTACCAGTTGAATTAGTGCAATGCCGAGTAGCAAAAAGTCCTGGTCATTAAGGGGGGTAAATCCTCTGGAGAGCAAGTGGTTAAAAGGACTTGTGAAAAACTGTTTTGCTTTTTGTTCAATTAAAGGCATTAAAGGAATGTTTCAAAAGTCTGATGTTGTTGTTTTCTCCAAATGTAACACTCTAGTGAATGGGTAGGGTGCAAGTACCCTTTACTCATTCACAAGGGGGGAGCAGAATCAGAGTGCCACCTTATTTAAAGGCCAATAACATTCATATAAGCCTTCAAAATGGTCACTTTTACAAGTTTGAGCCCCATAGACTTGCATTGAGTACGAAGTTCGCGGTCAAACATTCAGTAGATTTAAACGTTCGGCCGCGAACCTAACACGGGGGGTGTTCGGTCCATCACTACTTACAGAGTTGTAATTACAGTATACATAGAGATACCAGAGACTGAGATGTACCAGAACATACTAATCCTCTGAAACTGAATCACTCTTTGGGTAATGCAAAGGTAAAAAATGTGCCACATGCAGAGTATAATGCTCAAGGTCATATACCAGGACATTTTTGTCCCTTTATAAATGGCATACTTAAGACGTGTAGATATCAGGAAAAAAGGTCAACCGTAATGTACTCCTGCTCTGTAACTGAAGATGACATTGCAACTAACTGTCCCAATACAAGGTGGTAAAGACAGAACCTCATGCAGAGTATAATTCTCAATGTCATAAACCAGGATAATGTTGTCAAATATAGAGGCACACTTTCCAAGGTATACTTACACATTGAGAGATCAGAGACACGAAAATGTACTCCTGCACACAGTAAAACAGCGTAAAGAAAGTGCTACATGCATAGTATTACGCACAATGCCACATACCAGGATATGATTAAGTAGGCATGCTCACCAAGGTTTTCCTACAGAGATAGAGAGCGGAAAGTATGGTACATAAAACATGTATTTCTGCTGAAATCTGGGGAGTGCTCTGAGGCTATCCAACACAGTACAAAATGGTGGTAAGGAAGGTGCCAATAGCAGAGCTCAGTGCTCAAAGGTTACAGCCACATTACAGTCAGCCTTTGCCCCCCACAGGCGGTACTCACAATGGAGTATTCAGAGACAGGGTCACACCAGAGGCTGCACTGCAATTCTGGGGCTGTGAAAAACTCTGCGACTAACAAACCAGAAAAATGATGTCTAAGGAGCATACGAGTCCAATGCCCAAAGATCACATTACAGGTAGGTCCCACAATCTTCAGTCCAGTATGCCCTCCAAAGCATTGCCGAGAATAAACTGGTTCAGATAGCTATGGTGGAGAGACCAGCTCAAACAGCATGCATGTGTCTTGATTGATGCAAAATCCATTCATAAAAATTGAGAATGTTGACAGAAAAATCAAGCAAAACGAAACAGAAGTTAACTTCAGCAGAGCTGAGGAAACAGCGCCCAACCTCCTAGGGCAAAGGCAAAAAACTGAGGCATGACAATTAGGGATGGGGTTATAGTAGGCAGGCCTTCTTTTGTTTGTCAGTGGGGTTGATTTACTAAAACTGGAGAGTGAAAAATCTGGTGCAGCTCTGAATAAAAACCAATCAGATTGTAGTTTATTTTTTATTTTGTCAAAGCTTAATTGAACAAGCTGAAGTTAAAAGCCAATTGGTACCCCCGTGTCTACCTCCTGAAGACAGTTGCACATAATCTCACATGTTTATGAATTTCTATGTCCCTGTGTCCCTCAAAAGGAGGCTAAAGAAATCAAGTTTTGTTTATACATTATTTATTTTGTTTATATAATCACCAAAGGATCTAACAAACTCTTCATGTTCCTACCTGGTGCATATAGGAGTTAAGAGGGTTGTAAAAATCAGTTATATTTCCATGAAACTTCATGTCAACAAAGATGACATGATTTAGAGCATCCAGTGCCTCTCCTTGTAGATCAATGTCTTCAATGAGAGATCTCTTACCTACAAAGATAGAAGAAAAGAGATCATAGAAAATATGGTGTATACTGTATATGACCACCATAAGACAAGAAAATCAGCCTCAGACCTACCGTATTTTTCGCTCCATAAGACGCAGTTTTTCTCCCCCCAAAAAGGGGGGGAAAAGGTCAGTGCATCTTATGGAGCGAATATGGAGCGGCCGGTCTGGTATTTCCGCCTCCGCCACCGTGTCAGAATACCGGGCCGGCCACTCAGCTCTTCTCTGCAGCAGGAGCTTACCTGTTCCTCAGTCCAGCACTGTACAGTCTTCCCGCGCCGGCATCTATAGTGTGGGCACCCGGCTGTGACAGCTGGGTGCCTGCTGCGCATGCTCGAGAAGCGTCGCGCTTTGTGAATGCCCCGGCGTCTTCTGAGGCACATGATAGGTCCCAAAAGACGCAGGGCCATTCACAAAAGCGCAGCACTTCTCGCACATGTGCAGTGGGCACACGGCTGTCAGCCGGGTGCCCACACACTAAAGGGAGGACAACTCAGCGGAAGTGGGAGCGGGTACCTGGCAAATTCAGGTACCCGCTCTACCTCCCTGCCCAAAGGTCCGCAGTCTCTTGGTCATCCCCTGTGCTGTGTCCGCAGTCTCCGGTCATCCCCTGTGCTGTGTCCGCAGTCTCCGGTCATCCCCTGTGCTGTGTCCGCAGTCTCCGGTCATCCCGTGTCCGCAGTCTCCGGTCATCCCCTGTGCTGTGCCCGCAGTCTCCGGTCATCCCCTGTGCTGTGCCCGCAGTCTCCGGTCATCCACTGTGCTGTGCCCGCAGTCTCCGGTCATCCCCTGTGCTGTGCCCGCAGTCTCCGGTCATCCCCTGTGCTGTGCCCGCAGTCTCCGGTCATCCCCTGTGCTGTGCCCGCAGTCTCCGGTCATCCCCTGTGCTGTGCCCGCAGTCTCCGGTCATCCCCTGTGCTGTGCCCGCAGTCTCCGGTCATCCCCTGTGCTGTGCCCGCAGTCTCCGGTCATCCCCTGTGCTGTGCCCGCAGTCTCCGGTCATCCCCTGTGCTGTGCCCGCAGTCTCCGGTCATCCCCTGTGCTGTGCCCGCAGTCTCCGGTCATCCCCTGTGCTGTGCCCGCAGTCTCCGGTCATCCCCTGTGCTGTGCCCGCAGTCTCCGGTCATCCCCTGTGCTGTGCCCCCGCAGTCTCCGGTCATCCCCTGTGCTGTGCCCGCAGTCTCGGTCATCCCCTGTGCTGTGCCCGCAGTCTCCGGTCATCCCCTGTGCTGTGCCCGCAGTCTCCGGTCATCCCCTGTGCTGTGCCCGCAGTCTCCGGTCATCCCCTGTGCTGTGCCCGCAGTCTCCGGTCATCCCCTGTGCTGTGCCCGCAGTCTCCGGTCATCCCCTGTGCTGTGCCCGCAGTCTCCGGTCATCCCCTGTGCTGTGTCCGCAGTCTCCGGTCATCCCCTGTGCTGTGTCCGCAGTCTCCGGTCATCCCCTGTACTGTGTACGCAGTCTCCGGTCATCCCCTGCACTGTGTACGCAGTCTCCGGTCATCCCCTGTACTGTGTCCGCAGTCTCTGGTCCCTCTCCTGTACTGTGCCCCCGCAGTCTCTGGTCATCCCCTGTACTGTGCCCGCAGTCTCTGGTCATCCCCTGTACTGTGCCCGCAGTCTCTGGTCATCCCCTGTACTGTGCCCGCAGTCTCTGGTCATCTCCTGTACGGTGTCTGCAGTCTCTGGTCATCTCCTGTACTGTGTCTGCAGTCTCTGGTCATCTCCTGTACTGTGTCCGCAGTCTCTGGTCATCTCCTGTACTGTGTCTGCATTCTCTGGTCATCTCCTGTACTGTGTCCGCAGTCTCTGGTCATCTCCTGTACTGTGTCGGCAGTCTCTGGTCATCTCCTGTACTGTGTCTGCCGTCTGTGGTCATTTTCTGTACTATATCTGCAGTCCATTGGTTCAGAATATTTTTTTTCTTGTTTTTCCCCTCTAAAACCTAGGCGCGTCTTATGGAGCGAAACATACGGTAAATGCCCTAAAGAAAAAAAAAAGCCCACGTAGGCATTTTCCAATCAACAAGATCGACAACTCTAAGAAACTTGTCCTTAAAGAGACCCCGTCATCAACTGCACTTTGAACTAGCTAGCAAATCTGGCTGTTTCTGGAGAGTAAAAGAGACACTAAAGTTTAAAGAAAAAAAAAAAATTATATTTAAGTATTCTTAACTCACAAATATACCATCTATTGCTCTCAGCCTCCTCCAAATTATATTTTTTACTGCTGAGATCAAACTTCCTTTTAAAGGGTGGACACGTTAATTCTCCATGGTCCCACTGTATGCAGGAATGTAGCCACCCTCTCTTGCTCACTCTTGTGCTGGACTAGGACCTATGGGATCTGTAGTGTGCATACAGCAGTGCACATGACCACCTAACTAACATGCCCTACTTGCTCCAAACAAAGAAAGCAAGAGGAAAAAGGAGAGGTCTGGGAGCTCATGAAGAACAAAAGAAGGAAGCATAAAAAAAACAAAAAAAAAAACAAAAAAAAACGAACACAACACACACTAAAGAAACAATTACATGAAAAAACAAAAAAACAACGTTTTTGATAAAAAGGACATAATTTAGTGCACTGTGATCCCCAGTACAGCCCCCACCCTCATTGCATGTCTTCATACTCTACTCTTCAGGCAATGTCTAATTACTCTTTGTGGTCACCCAACAAAACCTTTGGGGGGAGGGGGAGGGTAGGGGAACACTATAAAGTATCACTTGAGTGACAGCTCTAAGACTACGGGAGCTGCTGATATCACATCAAAATGAAGGCGCCCAGCAACAGTACAGGGCTTTTGGATGTCTAAATAAGGCAGGCTTTAACAGGTAAAGAACATCACTAAAATATGTCAGATGCATATGGCAACGGGGTTTCAGTAAAGTGACTGTCACCTTAAAAGAAAAAAAAAAAAATACATAGGTACTAGTAGTAGGTATAAAGTACAGTTGGTAGTAGAGGTGCCTTAACATATCTATAGCAGCTTTCATTGCCTACAGGACTGGTGGTACAGTGCCTGCCTTCCGTGTAATCATATTAGCAGACTACTTCAGTTATTATAGTGATGAGCCAATAGGACTGGATAGGTGAATAGCATACTACTCTAGAAATTCTTTTTTTTTTTTTTTAGCATACTACTCTGACACATTTAAGAATACTACACAGAAACATAGAGAAGTGCTGTCAGAAGAATAAAAAAAAAAAAAAAAAAAAACAAAAAAAAAAAACACGTGATCCAGCGAGTCTTCCCATTTTTTAATACAGGTTTTGTAATTTTTTTTTTGTTGTCTTTTGGTCATAAAACAGTTAAAAAAGAATACCGGAAGAGCTGTTCAAACACAATAAACAAGAAAAAAAAAAAAAGGTGCTATGTACAGAAAATTAACTGCCCGATATTTTAAAATGAGATTCACAACTGTGTGTACATTACAAACCTGCCTGCAGAGACAGACTAGGGTGTCTATTGTTCTTCATACTCAGGTGAGCTTTCACCTTTTTCAAAAATATCTTCAATCTGTGCGTCAATTTTTGCAAAACTCACATCTTCTAGAGGATTACAGTACTGATCAATGAGAACAGCTCCTGACGAAAAAAGAAACCGGTGAAAAATATCACAAAAAATAAACAAACATACATGGATATGTGTTTATTTTGTATTTAACCATTTCTGGACCAGGCCATTTTATACGATGTGGCGCCGCGTTATTTTAACTGACAATTGTGCTGTCATGCAACACTGCACCCAAATTAAATTTATGTCTTTTTTTTTCCCCCACAAATGGAGCTTTCTTTCGGTGGTATTTGATCACCTCTGCGGGTTTTTTTTTTGCACTATAAACAAAAAAAGACTGAGAACATTTTTGACTTTTTGCTATAAAACATGTTCAGTAAAAAAATTGAAAAAAACAAAATCAAATTTCATCATAAATTTTGGCCAAAAGTGTATCCTGCTACATGTCTTTGCAAAAAAAAAAAAAATCCCCATACGTGTAAAATTAATTGTTTTATGTGAAAGTTATAGTGTCTAGAAATGGCAGTATACAGTATATACTGGAATTTTTTTTTTACACTAGTAATGGCAGCGATCAGCGACTGCAGCGGGCATTCTGATACTGGGGGGGGGGGGGAACTGTTACTGACATCCCCAGTAACACTAATACAGTAATCAGTGCTAATAAAAAGCACTGACACTGTACAGTGTTGCAAATTATTATGCAAATTATATTTTTCTCATTTACCTAAATAATTGATGTAAATAACAGTCAGCATAATTCTCATGTTATCAACTATTAAGAGTACAATTCACATTTTATTGAATAAACCTCCTAATAACAGTATTTTTGTTAAACATAAAACACTTCCAATGCACTGTTCCAAATTATTACGCACAGTAAGTTTCAAAACACTTTATAGGTTGTAAAGAGCTGAAAACTGTCATTTGTTGTTTGCAGCATATTTACTGAAATCAAAAGCTATTTCAATCAAACTTTTAACAACATTTTAACTTTTTAAACATTTTAACAGGTCACGTTACATTGTAACATAGGACTCCTTATTTGATAGCAGCTTCACAAGTCTTACATCCATTGAACTTGTGAGTTTTTGGATAGTTTCTGCTTGAATTTGTTTGCAAGATGTCAGAATAGCCTCCCAGAGCTGCTGTTTGGATGTAAACTTCCTCCCACCCTCATAGATCTTTTGCTTGAGGATGCTCCAAAGGTTCTCAATAGGATGAGGTCAGGGGAGGATGGAGGCCACACCATGACTTTCTCTCCTTTTATCCCCATAGCAGCCATTGATGCAGAGGTATTCTTTGCAGCGTGAGATGGTGCATTGTCATGCATGAAGATGATTTTATTATGGAAAGCATAGTTCTTCCTTCTGTACCAGGGAAGAAAGTGGTCAGTCATAAACTCCACATACTTTGCAGAGGTCATCTTTACACCTTGGGGGGCTGTAAAGGGGCCGACCCGCTCTGTTCCTATGATTCCGGCCCAAAACATGACTCCACCACCGCCTTGCTGACGGTGGCCGTCCACCAACCATCCACTACTCTATCCATCTGGATCATCCAGGGTTGCACGGCACTCATCAGTGAACAGGACGGTTTGAAAATTAGTCTTCATGTATTTTTCTGCCCAATGCAGCCATTTCTGCTTGTGAGCATTTAGTGGTGGCAAATAGAAGGTTTATGCACAGTTGCCAGACTCTGGAGAACTCTACACCTTGATGTCCGTGGGACTCCAGAGGCACCAGCAGCTTCAAATATCTGTTTTCTGCTATGTAATGGTATTTTAGAAGCTGCTCTCTTGAGCCAATGCATGGATCTGGCAGAAATCTTCCTCAATGTGCCGTTATCTGCACAAACCTGTCTGTGCTCTGAATCAGCCAGAAATCTCTTAATAGTGCGATGATCGCGCTTAAGTTTTCGTGAAATATCTAATGTTTTCATACCTCGTCCAAGGCATTGAACTATTTCACTCTTTTCGGCAGCAGAGAGATCCTTTTTCTTCCCCATATTGCTTGAAAATGGTGCTCTGCTTAATAATGTGGAACACCGTTCTTTAGTAGTTTTTCTTTAAATTGGGCTCATCGGCCAAAAATATTTCGTCTTTGTGACACTTAAATAGAGTTTGCATAATAATTTGGAACGCGGTGTATTAACACTGGGCACGAAGGGGTTTACATCTGGGGCAATCAAAGGGTTAACTGTGTGCGTCTTTCACTGTGTCAGTACATTGCTTTGTATTGCTCTGCTATGCAGAGCAATACAAAGCAATGTGTAGGAGCTGACAGGGCAGAGATCTGTATTGTTTACATACAGGTCTCTCCCCCGTCAGCGATACTAGGCGGTCTAAGAAAAGGGGATAAGTGAGCGCTAAAAGTCAATAAGCTGCTAAACACCAAAAGGCACCAAAAACCTCCAAAGTAAACAATAAAACAGCAGGGTGTAGCGCTAAAATAACCGTAAATAAAATGATATAAGGCACAAGTGATCGTAATAAAGATATGAGGTTCTAGTATAAATAATAAAACATGTATGATATCTTGATAACAACCTATGAATAAGATATTCTAAACCGCTTTATGCATCAATATATCAGCGATAATAACAGTCCCAAAGTGAGTGATTAAAGTGACATAGTGCATTCACATCAACAATAAATAGTGTATTGTGTCACTAGTCAGTGACTCGCCGTGCCAGATAAAGATCCACAAATCCAAAAAGTAGGGTGCCTAGAAATTTTCCGGATCCAAATGACTGGTTCCAATGATTGGTGATAAAAGAGAAAAGTGTAAAGACTGCGCACTCACCAGATACGCAATCACACTGCGCATATAGAGATAACAATCTAAAAGAACCAGGGTGTCCCTTTAAGGTCTGGTCTCCCTCTTATGCCGACATCTACCTAACTCACCTCCTCTGTAGATGGTAAGAGCTCCCAAAGAGCACAGAAAAGAGAAGGTAGTAGTGATGATCCAAGATGGCTGCTGGGACCTGCATGGTGCCAGCAGCGTGGCGTCCTAGTGCTGTAGCCCCTCCCTAAAAAAACTGTCAAAAGTCCTGCGTAACAAGGCAATGGAACTTTATAAAGATGAAGAAAGGATATAAAAAGATGTTCAAAGCCCTGAATATGCTAATGGCTACTGTTAAAAACTGGGTAAAACCAGGCCTTTTTGTGTCATTGATGCAGTAAAGACTTCTTTCTGGCACCTCGACCATGCAGCTCATTTTTGTTCAAGTGTCATCATATTGTGCTCCTTCAAAACAACCACACCATCTTTTTCCAGAGCAGCCTGTATTTCTTTTGAGGTTGTCTGTGGGTTTTTCTTTGAATCCCAGACAATTCTTCTATCAGTTATGGCTGCAATCTTTCTTGATCTACCTGTACTTGGCTTGGTATCAAGAGATCCCCGAACTTTCCACTTCTTAACAGGTGATTTAACAGTACCCATTGGCATATTCAGGGCTTTGGACATCTTTTTATGTCCTTTTCCATCTTTATAAAAGTTACATTACCTTGTTACGCAGGACTTTTGACAGTTCTTCTCTGATCCCCATGCCTCAGTATCTAGCCTAGTCAGTGCTTCCACATACAGTGGGGCAAAAAAGTATTTAGTCAGCCACCAACTGTGCAAGTTCTCCCACTTAAAAAGATGAGAGAGGCCTGTAATTGGCATCATAGGTAGACCTCAACTATGAGAGACAAAATGAGAAAAAAAATCCAGACAATCACAATCACATTGGCTGATTTGGAAAGAATGTATTTGCAAATTATGGTGGAAAATAAGTATTTGGTCACCTACAAACAAGCAAGATTTCTGGCTCTCACAGTCCTGTACCTTCTTCTTTAAGAGGCTCCTATGTCCTGCACTCATTACCTGTATCAATGGCACCTGTTTGAACTTGTTATCAGTATAAAAGACACCTGTCCACAACCTCAAACAGTCACACTCCAATCTCCACTATGCTGAAGACCAAAGAGCTGTCGAAGGACACCAGAAACAAAAAACTGTAGACCTGCACCAGGCTGGGAAGACTGAATCTGCAATAGGCAAGCAGCTTGGTGTGAACAAATCAACTGTAGGAGCAATAATTAGAAAATGGAAGACATACAAGACCACTAATAATCTGCCTCGATCTGGGGCTCCACGCAAGATCTCACCCCGTGGGGTCAAAATGATCACAAGAACGGTGAGCAAAAATCCCAGGACCACACGGGGGGACCTAGTGAATGACCTGCAGAGAGCTGGGACCAACGTAACAAAGGCTACCATCAGTAACACACTACACCGCCAGGGACTCAGATCCTGCAGTGTCAGATGTGTCCCCCTGCTTAAGCCAGTACATGTCCAGGCTCGTCTGAAGTTTGATAGAGAGCATTTGGATGATCCAGAAGAGGATTGGGAGAATGTCAGATGGTCAGATGAAACCAAAATAGAACTGTTTGGTAGAAACACAACTCGTCGTGTTTGGAGGAGAGAGAATGCTGAGCTGCATCCAAAGAAACACCATACCTACTGTGAAGCATGGGGTTGGCAACATCATGCTTTGGGGCTGTTTCTCCGCAAAGGGACCAGGACGACTGATCCATGTACAGGACAGAATGAATGGGGCCATGTATCGTCAGATTTTGAGTGCAAACCTCCTTCCATCAGCAAGGGCATTGAAGATGAAACGTGGCTGGGTCTTCCAACATGACAATGATCCCAAACATACCGCCCGGGCAACGAAGGAGTGGCTTCGTAAGAAGCATTTCAAGGTCCTGGAGTGGCCTAGCCAGTCTCCAGATCTCAACCCCATAGAAAACCTTTGGAGGGAGTTGAAAGTCCGTGTTGCCCAGCGACAGCCCCAAAACACCACTGCTCTAGAGGAGATCTGCATGGAGGAATGGGCCAACATACCAGCAACAGTGTGTGCCAACCTTGTGAAGACTTACAGGAAACGTTTGACCTCTGTCATTGCCAACAAAGGATATATAACAAAGTATCGAGATGAACTTTTGATATTGACCAAATACTTATTTTCCACCATAATTTGCAAATAAATTCTTTCCAAATCAGCCAATGTGATTGTCTGCATTTTTTTCTCATTTTGTCTCTCATAGTTGAGGTCTACCTATGATGCCAATTACAGGCCTCTCTCATCTTTTTAATTTAGAGAACTTGCACAATTGGTGGCTGACTAAGTACTTTTTTGCCCCACTGTAAGAGCTAACACACTCATTGACTATTTATACACTAACACTAATAGCAATTTAAAAAGCCACAGATGTGGGACTTGACCTCTAAGTGGCATTTCAGCCCTTGTGTGTGTCACCAAGGCCAAACATTCCAGGGTATGTAAACTTTTGATCATGGCCATTTGGGTGATTTCTGTTATCATTATGATTTAAAAAGGAGCCAAAACAACTATTTGATAATAAATGGCTTCATATGATCATCATCCTTCAATAAAAGAGCATTTTTTGGCATGATCAGTCATATTTTCAATATCAATGCCAAAATTTCACAATTTTTGCCCAGGGTATGCAAACTTTTGAGCACAAATAATACTTTGAAAATGTAACAATCATGGTGGAACCATATATACACTTTACATATGCTTATATGAGCATATTAAAAAAAAAATAAAAAGCCTCTGTTTTATGCTGATGGTGCTTTTGTTTCAGTGTCCAGTGTAAAATGTGCTTAAACAGTTTGATTACTTTTCTACATCTTCCAATTTCGTGAATGGTTCACCCTATTGTATAACTTAGGTGATAATCACTCACCAGATGAATTTTCTCTCTTAAGCTGCCCATACATGGGTCAGTTTTTCTTGTTCAATTAGAGACTTGAGTAAAAAAAAAACAAAAAACTGACTCAATTCCCCCATCCATATATTCAATATGGATGTGGGTCCTCCCTGCTGTGCCAGTGTATTCTGACGGAGGGGAAATGCCATCAGAATACACAGATCAGCACTGCAGTCTACTGCCTACTGCCAGTCTATTATAGAATGAGAAAATAATAATAGGGCGGTTGAATAGAATTCGATCAGAAGGTCAACTTTTGTTTAACCAAAGTGGCCACATATGAATCAAACGTAGGCCAGGCCCTACTGAAACGGTCAAATTAGGTTCTAAATATTACCAGCTTACCTTTGTCAAAACTTAAATTTAAAAGGATAAGTTCATCTTTTGGGAAAAAATATTAAATGCACATATTTTTGCAGAAAAAAAAAACAAAAAGTGCATTTGTTTTCTACGTAAAGAACTTGGAAAACATTGCGCTCGTGATCAGTGAATCGGGGTGCAATGCCACACTCCTGCATACAAGACCTGCAGCTTTCAGCCTGGACCTTCATATGGTTTGACTGTTTACAAGCTCTAGGGTTTGTGAATGAACTACGGCGCAGCTCATCAGCAACCCCGTAGTCCATTCAGAACTACAAGCCCACAGTTGCAATGGCTGGCGGGAGTTGTATTTCGTGCATTCAGAGGGAACTGTGAATGAATGGCATGGCCGTGTGGGCAGAGCTCAACATGGCCACATTATTGTCAAATAATGACAACAGCCACCAGAAGAAGGATTCCCTCCCTGCTCGCTGTCATTGGGATGGGAGGAGAGGGGGAGAGGCTGCAGCTGGTGGAACATGTTATATGTTCCACCCTAAATACGGGATGGAACACCCATAGAGGAGAAGATAATTGTTACATGATGGTCAAGTATTTTTACACATAGGTAGCCTATTTCATTTGAGAACAATAGGATCATAGGGCTATACAATTACAGCTTTAACCACTAGCCTACAGGGCACTTATACCCCCTTCCTGCCCAGGCCAATTTCCAGCTTTCAGCGCTGTTGCACTTTGAATGACAATTGCGTGGTCATGCAACACTGTACTCATATGAAATTTTTATAATTTTTTTGTGACAGATAGAGCTTTATTTTGGTGGTATTTAATCAACTCTGGGTTTTTTATTTTTTCTTAAACCAACTAAAAACCACTGAAAATTTTGAAAAAAAAAAAAAAAAAAAAAAAAATCACATTTTTTTCGTAGTTTTTGTTAGAAAATTTTGTAAATAAGTGATTTTTCTCCTTCACTGATGTGCGCTAATGAGACACTGATAGGTGGCACTGGGCACTGATGGGCATTGACAGGCATCACTGATGGACACTGAAAGGCAGCACTCATATATGGCACTGATAGGCGGCACTGACTGGCATTGATAGGTGGCACTGACTGGCACTGATGGGTGACACTGAAAGGCAGCTCAGATGGGCACGGATATGTGGCATTGATGTGCACTGGTAGGCACTGATAGGTGGCACTGGCAGGTGGCACTGATGAGCACTGACAGCTGGCACTGCTGGGGCTACACAGATCATCAGGGCACACTGATCATCAGTGCCCTGATGATCAGTGTACATGTCCCCTCTGAGGAATGCCGATTACCAGCTCTCCTCTCAAGCTGTCAGCGTGACAGCTCGTGAGGAGAGAAATGCCAATAACCGGCATTTCCCTATTTACATGCGATCAGCTGTGATTGGACACAGCTGATCACATGACCGAGCCGCCATCTTCGGCTCTTTCCGTTGATCCGCTGTGTCCGAGGGACACAGCACACCGCCGATCGCAGCGCCGCGTGCTCCCGGAGCCACGCATGTGCGGTTAGAAAGGGAGGACGACATATGACGTCCTCCCAGAACGAGAGAACCACCTTGCGTCTGTCATTTAACTATATGGCAGGTGGGAGGCGGTTAATGTATTATTTTCACTGACAATAAATACAGCAACTAAGGCAGGCCATTTTCTTTCCTGCAACCATGGGTGGAAATATAGAAAATCATTTGATTCTCCAATCAACACCATTAGTATTGATTGGGGAATGCTACCTGGGGAGCTACTGTGTTCTGCCAGCGATGAGCCCCCCAGCCAGCAAAACACGTCTACTGCTAACGGCTATAGCCACTGGCAGTAATCGCATGTACAAAATCCAACAGGCTGTTGTAGACAAATCGATCAATGGATTGACTTCAGTACAACCAGCCTGTCCAAAGATGGATCAAATCTTGGCCGGTCCCTGCTGAACCGGCGGAGATTCAATCCATCTATGGCCGGCTTTAGTTTAACACTTTTAGGTTAGAAAAGCTAGGGATGCACAAAGGCAAATATTTAAAAAAAAAAAGAAATACCTTCTAGAATGTCTTGTTGGTCTGCAGGTCTTTGAAGAAATGCTTTAAATTTAGACATGGTAGACTCTTGGCGCATGCAATACAGAATCTTCTTTGCACAATACTTCTGTATAAAATACTGCCTAAAAATTAAAAATTTGTCATCAGCTGAACTTTATGGTAAAATGGCTTAAAACAGAGGTGCTTATTTTATAACAAGGACAAAAGTTTAACTTAGCACTGTTCCAGGTATCCAATAATGCAGAACTACAATCTTTCTAGATACAAAACAACATTTTCTACCCTTGTGATCTTAATTCAAAGACTGTAAACTGAAGCATTACAGTAACACTACCATGTTGTTGAATATGGCATTTTTTGGCGTTTTAAAAAAAAATCCATAAAGGCAGAGTTTTGGGTGCTCATAATTTACAAATCGATCTGCATCTTTGTCAGTTTCAGTTTTATATGTTTCAGTTACATCTAAACATAAGATGTGCAAAGAAAGTTTGTTTTGTTTATAAAGAAGCCACTGTCTGAGTAGGAAAGCCTTTCCCTGAGCAGCATGCTGCAGAGACCCTTGTGCTCTGTGTGTGAGGCAGTGGGTTCTCTTCAGAAGTCCAACATCCCCCCCTTCCCCGCTGGGTAAGACCTATAGCTTCACAATCAGCAAAGATCATATTCC